AGTGGGGTTACTACAGGATAATATAATTGCTTTTGTTGGAATTTCTACTGAACTGCAATAGATACGGGTGGGCTTATTACCAGGCATGGGCTTATTGTCTGATAAAATACTGTAATACATACAGATCCCAAATCCGTTCCCAAACTTAACCATTCGTTAACATTGCGACAAAAAAAACTAAGGAAGTTTTCATAACTCAAGCAGTGCTCACCAATGAGAATTAAGGTGAAAAATCTTCTTCAGTTAAAGAACGTTCGTAAATATGTGGCTTCACCTGATAAGTAATACTGTGACTATACTAAGGCATATGACAAGGTGAGTTGACATGCTCCCGTGTCTATATTGTAGCAAGTTATTGTGACTAAAGTAGATATGTTGCTAAGAAGCATTACTCCTCCTCTTATAATGTCTTCCATGATACGTGTCGACTGCTGACGGACTTACTTAAAACAGGGTTTTCAGGGATGGTTAAGGACAATGTCAATACATTTTCTTTTATTACCATACAATATTTTTGGAATACTGCCAGAGTTGGGGCCCTTGATTAAATATCCTCAAAAAACGTGTCCTCATGCAAGAGGGCTGTCATTCATTCATCCTTTCATTCAGTCGTTGAATTATTCATTCAATTGTTTACTTATTCTCTCATTGATTTCTTTTCATAACATCCTTTCTTTTACATTTTATTCCGTGTTTACATTCATTCCTACATTTATTATTTACATTAATTCTCTCTTTGTTTACACTCATTCACTCATTTCATCTATTTATTCATACAATTTGAAGTTTTCTCCTTTATAATATATATATGATATAAAAATATATATAATATAATAATAGTAATACTGTGACTATATATACTAAGGTATATGACAAATATTACTATATGTCTTCTATGATACGTGTCGACTGCTGACGGACTTATTTGAAACAGTGTTTTTAAATAGTTATATAATATAATATATAGAGATACTATATAATACTTAGTAAATGTACTGAGGCATGACAAATATGAGGCAGGAAGGAGGGGAACCCCCTGATTTGCCAGCTAGGCACCGGATATATCACAAATGAGCATGCGAGGAGAGCAAACATTTCAAACTAATAAGGGGAGATAACTTTTATTAAAAAAACAACAACATGTAAGTAATATTTAAAATAATAATGAATTAATGTCGTTATTATTAAAAGTTGTTCGAATTAACCCCATTTATTTTGGAAGGATAATAGAGATTTACTTTTCATCGCAATAAACTTCTCTTCTTTCATTGTATGTGCAAAAATAATCTTACACATTTCAAAATTTGGAATGTAGTCTTTAATGCGGCTACAGTATATGTGATCTTTTATTATTACCAGAAAATGGTTTAATAAAAGTCCAATCTTTGAATTTCCAAAATGGATATCTATATCTTTAAATTCAATATATGGCTGTCTATCATCATTCTCAGTATACCAAACATTAAAATCATCCAATAATCTCTGTACATAATAGCATTGAGTAAAAATGGGTTCCAATGTTTCTGTTTCTCTGTTACAGAATGTACATAATTGATTTGTTATTAATTTCATTTTTACTTACTCTTTATTAGTTGGTAGAATCCTATGATTGATTTTGTATTGGAAAGTTTGTAATTTTGTTTCCATTTTACGGTTAAATGCATTCATATAAATATCTTGCCAGTTGAAATCCTCATCCATCTCGAAAACTGATTTCCATTACTCTTGGCTATGATTGGGCATTATTATGACATTTGCAACAAACTTTCTATAGATAATAATGTATCATCAGCGTACAAATGTATATATGCAAACTACATTAATTGACACTAAGTGGTATGTCATTGACATACATGATGCACATCGGAAAACCAGGTTTCCCTCGGGTATACTTACTGTAAGCTGTGTCTCGCTCAAACTTGGTTTTGATTTTACAACCAAAAATCTGAAAAGGCACAAACAAAACCGAAGAGAAACTGGAAACACATTAATTAGTTTACTTGTCAAAACGAAACAAGTCCAGATTTATTTTGAAAGCAGTACACTGTAACTTTAAGCCCTGAATTGCCTTCATTTGTCATTCATTGATAAAAGCCTGTCCAGTTTGCATTCACATTGCCTATGAATATCATCTGAAAGTAATATGATCATAGGTTTCACTGTACCCGGACCAGATCAATGCTTAAATGTATACTAGTGATCAAGGTAAAAACTTAAAATAGAAAGTGTATTTAAAAATAAGGATATATCTTTTTACTCCGGATACGACCAGTCACTGTGATGCCTTTTCTTTTCCTTTTACCAGGGCGACACAATTCTGCTCAAGAGTCAAATAAACAATTACAGGCAAAGTCTCTGAACAATATGTTTACGTTGGCCAGTGCTATACATAAAACTGACTTTTATTCAATACGTAGAACTACAAACTGCAAAAAAAAATATCTGCTGAAGCAATGACATCAAATGTTACTATTTGTTATCAGAATTAACGAGAGAAATGGGAAGTTCCATCTGTTTGAAGCTTCTTTAGAAGTTTAATTTAAACGAATATATTTCTCATGAGCAAGACAGGGACATAGCGTAGAATTATTTGAATATTTTCCAACGAATATATTAAACGTCAAAATAACAACGGACATTTATATTTTTATTGTAAAGATATATATTCAGTGGAGGGTAAATGGATTTTTTCGATCGTATCGATTTGAGTAATTTGTTATGATTGATTAAATAAGTTACCATAGAACAACCGATTTTAGCCTTCAAATCGAAACAGTACCCCAGGAAATGCAAATTTGAGGCAAAGTTTTCAATTCACATATTTTAATTATCATTTTATTAGTAAATGTGTTTGTCAAACCATTACTGCAATTAGAGGGGCAGATCAGCCCTTAGTGTTACCAATAAGACTCAATATTTTCATTCATTGAGACAAAATAGCTCGGAAGTCGTAGTCGTTCGTAACTATGCAACGTCAGAACATGTTGGCTGGCCTATCGAAATCTAGCGCAATCTGTGTATGTATATAACAGTTATTATAAATCAGTTGTTTCGCTTGACACGTTTTGTTTGTAATGTAGCGGAACTGGACTGGACCGATCATCGGAAGGAGAAGACGCTTACCCTTCCGGAACACATGTTCTTATTATCATTGTACAATGAACTTCCCCAGGGGTCTACAAACAACACTTTCTTTGATTATATTCTGCCCTGATTCGATAGATTTCGAGTTCGAACAACGGTCTGGTGCACACTGCGATAGTACGTATTCTTTCTTAAACAAGGACAATGGACAGGAGATGTACAATGGTAACTAGAGTACTTTTTTTTTTCAAAAATATTATACAACATACAAACAAATTCCTTTTCTCTGATTTTCGCTGGCGCCGATTGTGCCTCCTCCTTCCCTCCTTAAATAATATTAAACTATTAATATTAAAATTGAACTGCATCAAGTGTGACACCATCACGATGTCTCCCGTCAAAACATGCAATGGGATTTTTTGAAACGTTTACAAAATGTAATACATGAAACTACACATGCAACATGCAGTTATATCTCACCCGTCGAGACATCAGTGATTTTTTTCACTAGTTCTTCTCTGTTTTATTGCTCCGAGCGGGATCCCTTCTTATTCGTATTCGTATTCTTTTGTCATAATCAAGTTTCGTCACGCCTAGTGTATACATTTTGTTTTTATTTAAATCGACTTTTCAGTCCAGTTTGGTCGTTTGTGTATTGACGATTGTTGATGTTTCACTCCTCTTGTTTATTTCTGAACGGTATAATTTGAAAACAAAATATTTCACCTGCAACTTCAAATGGAGTTCAACATTGTGGTCTTACTACTGAGACTTGTTATAACACAATTGGAAACTATAAATGCCATTGTCATTGTACATACAGTATGTAGCCATATGTATTGATGTGTTTTCTTTCTTCAGAACGACATTTACTGCAATCCGGATAAAAGATTGCATACCGTTCCATCTTTTAGTTTATAATTTTGTTTTCCGGTTTCGTTTCGTTGTTTATCGTCCTGCTTTCGGTTCCACACTTTGACCGGGGACTTTTACTCCACAGGTTTACAAGATTTAAACTGCAAACGCTTGCGTGCATGAAGCAAATGTTTTAGTGATATGCTATGACAAGTGTTCAGTTTGTTTTTATAAGGGAGTAAAGACAGGTCCTGCACAACGCAACTATCAATATTGTCATTATTGATCTTGTTACTACTTGTTAGACTTTGAACCGCCAGGTACGTTATTGGATAGGGGCGCATATAAGATCACTATTGATAGTAGTTGCGTGACCCTGTGGGTCCTGTTAATGAGTTACATCCACTAGCAGGTGCTTGGTACATAAACATAAATATAAATCCTTGGACACACATATTATATATAAGGACGTTGTAGTATTAAACATTTAAAAAAATATTTCGCTTCTCAATTACATCCTGCTACAAGGAACTTACTTCCTTTTAGCACCATTGTAAGAACGGCCGACTGGATAGCTGGGAGGGTGAGGTGGGGGCTGATTTGATTCCTGGTGGAAACACTATTTATTTCCTGTTTAATTATTAAATATTTAATTGATGTACATAATCTCAAATGAGAAAACAATACTGATGCAATTTAGCTCAACTGCCCGAAGGGCAAGTGAGCTTATGACATAGCGCATCGTCCGCCATCCGTCCATCTATCAACTTTTCCTTTAAAACGATACTAGTCTTGAACGGTGAAGTGGTTTTTAACTCAATTTGGTTTGGATCATCTGTGGACTCAGGCAGTCATTTTTTGATAAACGTGGGTGTGGTCCCCCTGGGGGCAGAGGGTTGGGGTCAATAGGGGAAATAGAGGTTTACATTTAAAATCCCTTTTCTACCATAAGGATTAAGGGATTTTATCCCAATTTGGTCTGGGCCATCCTTATGTCAAAGGGCACTCTAATTTGTATAAACGGTGGGCGTGGCCCCCTAGGGGCAGAGGAGAGAGGCCCAATAGGGATAATAGAGGTAAAACTTTTAAATCTTTTTTCTACTGTAAGGGATAAAGGGATTTTATCCTAATTTTGTCTATCAAGTTATCAAGAAGTGCCTGTTACTATTAGGATGTATTCATTCAAACAAGATGGCCAACAGGACGCCATCTTGGATTTTGACATTTGAAGGTTGTTCTTGCTATATCTCTAGAAATACTGGATGGATCTTCTTGAAATTTCATTTAAGGAATGAAATTTATTTTTTCAACACTCATGAGGTCATAACAACATTAGCTTTCTGGGTATATTTTATGAATCGTGTTAGTGGTTCTTGGTAAATTTATTAACATTTTTTAAGTGCTTTGAATTCTCCAATCGTCTACCGGTCGCCAACTACCCCCTGTACTACGTCATTGTAGTGTATCAAGACGCAGTGATGAGGTCATCTGTGTTATGCAAAAATGAAATTTATGTTGGTCAATGGGTCAAAGCATACATAATGTAATTATATGTACATACAGTAACTACCATTGAGTGCTATATCTTTTACCTCATATCAAATACTTTAAACATATACAGGTGAGCGATACAGGGCATCGTGTTGTATAGATAATTCCATTTGGAGCCTAGTAACCTGATGAATCCAGAAGTAAAAGACAAAGCACTGGCAACTCTGACTAACAGTTTGGTTTTTGTACGGGTCACACAGGCAATATTTTATTAATTCTACCACATCACAGTCTCATTTCAATTTTTTCTTAGAGAATCTTCCTAACAAGACAACCATAAAATCAAAAGGAAAGTTCATACATTCTTAATAAGGAAAAGGGAGGAAAGATCGAGTAATATCGTTTGGAATGTAGTTAATTTTAGACAACTGATATAAAGAAGGTGGTTAGTGTTTCAGTATACCACACAGTTAACGTTTAGTGTTGTTGGCAGTTTATAGCCTGACACATCTGCCCTTCTTGAATACTAATTCCTAATTGATCCAACATTTTTGTTTTGTTTGAAATAGGTAAGCTATTTCTAAAGGAAGAGTCTTCTACAGCAGTGAGCCAGGTACAACAGGTTTGAAAAACATGGCATCCAACTGGCAGGGAGATTACTCGGCTCTTCAATGTAAGTGTCTGTAAGTTAGACCAGATTGACCAAAAACTTATACATGATGGTAATTAATGATGGATCAGCCGATATAAATAAATCATTCTAAATCATAAAATGATTTACCAATATCAGAGTTTTATCACATTTATTATAAGGTGACAGTGCCCTGAGTCAACCTGAGAATATCCCTCACAACAAATGGAAGCATGCAAAAACTTTTAAAATGCATTTGTGACATCATTATGTACTTTAGGCAATTTTCTAATTAGTCCATCATGATGTTCCCACCTGTTCCTTATGCTTAAATACTTGGTTAGGAACTAAATATCACAAAGTAAGGTAAATTGAGAATTTTTCTCTTAAAATATAATGAATATAATCCTGATTGACAGTAGGTAACATTTTATTATTTCATCTTTTTCGCCAGTTCCTCAAATTCTGGTCAACTTCAGTAAAAGTATATCATAGACTATAAGTCATGTTATGAAAGCCTTGATACGAAAATATTCCAACGTCTTTTCATCTTTTTTCAGCATAATATATTTTTGTAACATTCATAAATCAGCCTGATTTCTTTAATAAAGACTCACCATCTTAACGTTAAGATTCATTTAAATGACTGGTGTGTTATATTGACACTTCTTTATAGAAAATGTATATTAATTTCAATGAATATTACCTGTTGTTGGTATTTAATGACAGTTGCTATTGTGGAAGACAAAAAAGATTATGGAAAGTTCAAGATAGAGAGGAAAGACCTTGGCGATTTTACAAAACTGGCTTTTAGCGTCACTTTTGATGAGGCACAAAGGTGAGTCTGTCCTCTGTCCTGTCTTTGACCTTTTTTGTCTAGCATGTTTAATTTCCTGACTTTTTATCTAACATACTTTACCTTCATTTACCTGAATGATAAAACTTCGCTGCATCAGATGGTTATGATGGTGGAATGTTGATGTAGCATTTCATCTGTGCTCTCTCATCCATCCTTAACCATTTATTATTGTCACGTTTTCTCAGGAAAATACTGGAAATTTTTTCTTATTTTTCTTCATCTATGTAATGCAGGTTCCCCTGTGTCTATGTTTTTATTTTGAGACTGATCTGAAGAACAATATAGTTGCCAAGCAGCCATGATAGATTTAGATTTTGACTGATGAAGATTGTTATCGCTATTTCTCTGGAAGTATTTATCAGGCCTGTCTCAAATTTTATTTCTTATGGATACAAAGTGATAATTGCTTCAACAATTTATCAAATGTAGGTCACTGTGACCAATATTTACACTTCAGTAACTTTGGATTTAGCATCATTTCTTGTTGTGACTTAGAATTTACTCTATTTCCATCAACTGAGGAGGTACATGTTTTAAAAACGTTTTCCATTTAGAATAATCTTTGATTTAAATTAAATTAAAATTGACCCGGTGTATTACTTACAGAAATGATAACAATGATCACAGATTTCTGTTAAAACAGCACAGATTAAAGAGTATCACAGACAGGGCATACATTTAACAAGATAAAGGACTGTGTTGTATACACAATGATAACAAATGTTATTTAAAATATTTAGCCTTTAGCTAGAAGAGACTTAAAAGATTGCAGGGTACATTAAAAATTGCAGTCAAGTTCATGATCGTTTTTGTTAAAAGTTCTCTCAGCAAGGTAAGAATTACTTAAGTTTCCTACATTAATTTCACTCTTTGGACAATAAAACTGTAAAAGCATACAGGACTAAACTAGTTTAATATTATTGCTTTAATTTCTACTTATGTGTTTTGGTATATATTTTTATCATGAGTTTCGTAGATATTGTTTCTGTCCTCTTTTATCTTATTTTATTTTATTTTCTCATGATTTTTACAGCGAGCTGCGAGTTCGGACCAGGAAGGATAATGACTTGTATGGATTTAATTACATCATTAAGGGATTAATTAAAACTTCAAACCTTGAAGGGGGGCTAAAGGTGAGTCATTAATCTTTTTATCTCATTCCTGTTTTGGGGAGTAATATATTCCAATAGTACTCCAATAGATTCTTAATCTCAAACCTTGGGTACTCACGATGATACTAAACTTTCTTGAGCTCCAAGTTATCTGGGATACTTAATATGGCCAAATTAGTTCTTCTTGTATGGCGGAACTGCAAGGGGAAATAAGTTATTTATATGGAGTTTCAGGGTGATACAGTAAATTCTTAATTCATCAGTGAAAACAACTCTAGTTTTACTCTCTACGTTGTTTGATATTCATTTTTCATTTCAAAAAAAAAATTAAGATATATGTTTTTAGCAAGTGAGCTTATGCCATGGCGCGGCGTCCGTCGTCCGTCCGTCCGTCATCCGTCCGTCGTCTGGCGTCAATATTTTATTATTAAACAATTTCTCCTCAATAACCAAACGGCCCAGGAAACTGATATTGAACCTGTAGCATGCTAGATTGAAAGGCTACCAAGTTTGTTCAATTGAATGACCTTGACCTTCTTTCAAGGTCACAGGGGTCAAATATGTTAAAAACCTGTAATACAACTTCTTCTGAATAACCAAAATGCATAGGATGATGATGATATTTGGCCAGTAGCATGCTGGAATAAAGGACCACCGAGTTTGTCCAAAGCAAAAAACTATTTAACAACATCTTCTGAATAACCAAGAGGTATAAGGTGATGATATTTTGCCAGTAACATGCTCGGATGAAGGACTACCACTTTATTCAAATGAATGACCTTGACATATATTCAAGGTCACAGGGGTCAAATATGTTAAAAAAAAACACTTTAAAAGACTTTTTCTTAAAAAGCAAAAGGCCAAGGGTGATGATATTTAGCCATAAACATGCTGGGATGAAGGACTACCAAGTGAATGACCTTCGCCCATATTCAAGGTCACAGTGGTCAATATATGTTTAAATCTTTAAATGATTTGTTCTGTATAACCAAAAGGTCCAGGGTAATAATATTTTGCAAGAAGCATGCTGGGTTAGAAGACTATCAACTCTGTTCAACCTAATGACCTTGTTCGATATTCAAGGTCACAGGCGTCAAATGTTTTAATCTTTTAATAGGTTCTTATAAATCAAACGCTGATATTCTGCCCGTAGCTGTATTTTAGTCCACTTTAAAGATTACAAGTGTGATATTGATACCAGGTGAGCGATGCAGGCCCATTGGGCCTCTTGTTCCCTGTTTAATATGATAACTTCATTCAGATGCTATGTTTTCTTTGGTTTACAGAAGGAGAAGAAGCAGGCATTCCTGCGGATAGAAAAGGATTTGAAAGATGGAAACTTTAATCTTTAGTGACAAATAAAACACATCATCAGCAATGCCTTTAGAATGGTTCAGTACGGCATTTATTGTAGTCAGGATTGCAGAGAGGATCAAAGACAGCTTTTACTTTAAGAGACAATCCTGGAATATTCTAACACAGCATTTAGTTTATAGTTCACATTTATAAACTGTACATTATACATAATAACGATGTGATTTCTTGTTGCTAGACATTAACACTGGATTACCTCCCCTCGTTGGATAACATATATTAACATAATTATAGACATCAACATAGGATTACATTGGCTCGTTTAATAATACCATGCAGGTATAATACTGGATTATCTCCTGTTTTTGGATAATGTTTTAAGTTGATAATGAGACTTTTAGAAAAATCGTACTGTTTATTGAATTCATTTCACTGTCTTAATTGGGTAACAACACACTGAATTGTTTGTTATAACCCAATAGTATGTGTTGCAATGCTAGTCTTTACATCATGATGACCAGAAGAAGAGAGCAGGTACAAATTATACTGCAAAAGTCACAAGGATTAATTTTATCATATACATTAACACCGGGTTATCTCCCCTCGTTAGATACTACTATATAGGCATTAACACTGGATTATATTAATTACCTCCATTTGTTGGAGATTAGTATATAGGCACTAACACTGGATTTTATTAATTACCTCCATTTGTTGTAGATAACTATATAGGCATTAACACTGGATTATATTAATTAAGGATATGTCTTGTATAAAAAAAAAATGATAATGAGACTTAAACAAAAATCTGTTTATTTGAGTCATGTCTTTGGAAGGAAAGAGCATGTACAAATTAAGCTGCAAAACACACTATTAGTGCTAAGAGTATTAAGTAAACCTGAATTAAAGTTGTATTTACCTTGAAACAAAATGAACCTTTATTTTTTTATAAATAAACTTTTATCTACATTCCTGTATAATTGTATGTGATGTCTTGTCTACAATGAGTTATGGCTATGAAACAGTGCTAGAAATATAGATCGATTTTTTTTGAAATAATTACTTCTTATGGATATATTTGATGTTCAGCATGGTTGTTTTTCTGTGAAATCTAAACCAAAACATTATAGGTAAAATGATGTACATGTACTGATACAGATAAATAGTTTTACGTCCTATAGTAGTTTGTAAGACTGCTGACTAGCTACGATATTGCATTAAAATGAAACAATAAAATTGTTCCAGAAGCAGAACTAAAATATGTTTGTGGCAGAATTCAATACCTATGTCTGTATTGATATTGTAGTAGAGTTTTAATGTGGTCAGCCAAGCAGAGATGACATATAGAAACACTTGGTTTACATTGACGGAATCCTTCAATTTCAAACAAAACTACACATCAATAACCGCTCAAATTCAATCTCAATCAAAATTAGAAAATTTTATGCACATAAATAACCGCTCAAATTCAATCTCAATCAAAAAATCAAAAATCAACATCAGCTTCTACTACTGTTATCGAACCTGGTCGTAGATGCTAGAATGTCTTTGTTGTGTACTATTACTGCTGAAATGTTCATGCTTATATTGTTTAATGTTACTCTATATCAAACATTACATTCATGTATGTATATTTTTTTTTCTTTTCTAAACTTTACTGTACTGTTGTATAGACAGACATCACTTCCATTTATATATTTTTTTTATTGAGATGAATGTCATTCACATTTTTTTTTTAATTTACATTAATATTTTGTACTTAATTTAAGTAAGGGATCATTTAATTCCTTGTGTTTTCAAAGTGGTCAGGTTTTGTATGAATATAAAAGACCTTATTTGGTATTGCAATGTCTGCTAGCCAACAGAAAATGTTGTTTGAAGTCTATGTTAAAAATCATGTAGATTTATACTTTTTATATACTTATATCTGAAATATTGTTTTTTTCATAATTCACTTTAGGTTTGGCAACAACACTCTTTATTCAATGTATTTTGTTTTAGTTTTTATTTGGTGTGGTATTTGTAGTGTAGTTTGTGGTTTGTGTATTGCATTTGTTAGAGGATGTTATGCAGATATAGTTAATAAAAATTTGAATAAGACTTCCACATTTTTGTTTACACCTTCCAGGCTGGACATCTTTGAAACATGCTAATATTTTCATTGCGACTATGATATCAATCTTACAACGTACCTGACGTACTCATATTAATAAGCGGGGGATGG